AAGAGGGCTGTTCCATCAGCACAGTGAGTGGGAGGGGCAGATATGGCGGAAGCTGGGGACCATATCATGTGCGGGGAATGCGCACTCGCTATCTTAGAGCGATTGCGCATTCTGGTCCCCAATGCTTTTCTTGTTCCCCAGGTTGTTCAGATTCTCAGGGCCAGAGCCTCCGGCTGATGTTGTGCAACGCCAGGTCCGTTGTTAATAAAGCCCCCCTCATCCACGATCTTATTCAGGAGGGGGAGGCGGACCTGGCGGGCATTACGGAGACCTGGTTGGGCCAGGAGGGGGGAGTCCCCCTCGTGGATATATGCCCACCAGGCTTCCGTGCATTTCATCAGCCGAGGGCTCAGGGCAGGGGTGGGGGGGTGGCAGTTATTATAAAGGAAGGTCTGGATCCAAGGGAGACCACTGTTCCACAGATAGCCGGATGTGAGTCCCTCTTTGTGAAGTGGGGTCGTGGAGTACAGATGGGCCTGTTGGTCACGTACCTGGCTCCCTGCCACGTGGCAGCGGCCCTGCCCGAGCTCCTTAACGTTATAGCCGAGGTGGCGGTGGGCACCCCCAGACTTGCCATCATGGGGGATTTCAACCTGCCATCTATCGGTGAAACGTCTGAGGTGGCTCGAGAGTTCATGGCTTCCATGACGGCCATGGACCTTACTCAGTTAATTCACGACCCCACTCACACAGGAGGACACACTCTGGACTTAGTTTTTGTCTCTGGTCAGTGGTTGAGTGGCCTTGATATAGGGGATATAGCCATCGAACCCTTGTCATGGTCTGACCACTCGCTCCTTCGACTGGACTTTCTAACCGCTGCACCCTGCCGCAGGGAGGCGGGACCGACCAGGTGGTTTCGCCCCAGGCGCCTGATGGACCCTGATAGGTTCCAGATGGAGCTTGGGCCATTTCCTGAGATTCTGGCTCATGACTCGGCCGAAGACCTGGTGGCCGCCTGGGATAGTGTGGCTGCCGGGGCCTTGGACCGAGTCGTGCCTTTGCGGCCTCTGACCCGGCACCGAACTCACCTAGCTCCTTGGTTTTCCGAGGAGCTTAGGGAGATGAAGCGCCGGAAAAGACGCCTGGAGAGTAGTTGGAGGACCAGCCGCTCCGAACCTGACCGAACACTGGTGAGGTCTCATATTAAGACCTACCTAGTGGCGATAAAAGCAGCGAAAACTAATTATTTTGCCGCTCTTATCGCGTCATCAGATAATCGCCCGGCCGCCCTGTTTAGGGTGACCCGCTCCCTCCTCCATCTGGAAGTGCGGGATGACCCCTTGCAGGGTCGAGCTGAGGATTTTGTGCAGTATCTGTATGACAAAATCGCTCAGATTCGGGAAGGGCTGGCCTCTGACTGGGTATGTCCAGATGGGATGACTGAGGCAGGTCTTGAGAGTGTTATCTGGGGGGAGTTCGATCCTGTGGCTCCCGAGGACATGGACAGGGTCCTGGGACGGCTGAACGCGACCATATGTTTATTGGACCCGTGTCCCTCCTGGTTGGTACTGGCTTCCCGGGAGGTGACACGAGGCTGGCTCCAGAAGATTGTTAATGCTTCTTTGAGTGAGGGAGTCCTGCCGGCCGCTTTGAAAGAAGCGGTGGTGAGGCCCCTCCTCAAGAAGCCTTCTCTGGATCCGGCTGTTTTGGCTAACTATCGTCCAGTCTCCAACCTTCGCTTCATTGCGAAGGTTGTTGAGAGTGTGGTGGCGCAACAGCTTCCCCGGTACCTGGATGAAGCTGTCTATCTAGACCCGCTCCAGTCCGGCTTCCGGCCTGGGCACAGCACGGAAACGGCATTGGTCGCATTGGTGGATGATCTCTGGAGGGCCCGGGATAGGGGTTGCTCCTCTATCCTGGTCCTGTTAGACCTCTCAGCGGCTTTTGATACCATCGACCATGGTATCATGTTGCACCGGTTGGCGGGGTTGGGGGTGGGAGGCACCGTTTTGCGGTGGTTCTCCTCCTACCTCTCTGACCGGTCGCAATCTGTGTTGACAGGGGGGCAGCGGTCGACCCCGAGGCACCTTGCTTGTGGGGTGCCACAAGGGTCGGTCCTCTCGCCCCTTCTGTTCAACATTTATGTAAAGCCGCTGGGTGAGATCATCCGTGGCTTCGGGGTGGAGTTCCATCAGTACGCTGATGACACCCAGCTGTACATCTCCACCCCAGGCCACCCCAATGATGCCCTTAAAGTGATGTCCCAGTGCCTGGAGGCCGTGCGGGCCTGGATGGGGAGAAACAGGCTCCAACTCAACCCCTCCAAGACCGAGTGGCTGTGGCTTCCGGCGTCCCGATATAGCCAGCTGACGCCATCGCTGGCTATTGGGGGCGAATCACTCGCCCCCACGGAGAGGGCTCGTAACTTGGGCGTCCTCCTGGACGCACGGCTGTCGTTAGAAGATCATTTGGCGGCCGTGGCCAGGGGGGCTTTTTATCAGGTCCGCCTGATACGCCAGTTGCGCCCCTTTCTAGATCGGGACTCCCTACGCACAGTCACTCAGGCACTCGTCACTTCCCTCCTGGACTACTGCAACGCTCTCTACATGGGGCTCCCCCTGGGGTGCACCCGGAGGCTCCAGCTGGTCCAGAACGCGGCCGCGCGGGGGATTTTGGGGGCGACGAGGCGCTCCCACGTGACGCCTCTCCTGCGCAAGCTGCACTGGCTCCCGGTGGTCTTCCGGGTGCGCTTCAAGGTGTTGGTGACCACCTTTAAAGCGCTCCATGGCTTAGGGCCAGGGTACTTACGAGACCGCCTTCTGCCACCAATAGCCTCCCACCGGCCAGTACGCTCCCACAGAGTGGGCCTCCTCAGGGTGCCGTCCGCCAGACAATGTCGGCTGGCGACCCCCAGGGGGAGAGCCTTCTCTGTGGCGGCGCCCACCCTCTGGAACAACCTCCCCCCAGAGCTACGTACAATAACAGACCTCCGGATTTTTCGTCGGGCCCTAAAAACCCATTTATTTCAACTAGCTGGGCTGGCTTGAGTCAAATTTTAAACGGATTTTAAATTGGAATGTTTTAATTACGGCCAAAATTATTTAATTATTTTAAACAGATTTTAGATTTTGTATGTTTTGTATGTATGTCTTGTTTTTACTTTGGCTGTTCACCGCCCTGAGTCCTACATTGGAGAAGGGCGGTATAGAAATTTAAACAAATAAATAAATAAATAAATAAATAAATAAATAAATAATTATCTTTGAATGCTCTTATTGGGGACGATGTAACTGAAATATAAAAAGAACATATCCCTATTCCAATATGTTTACAATCTAAAATTTGCCCCAGGAAAGGGAGACGAAAGCAGGGATAAGCAGGTGAACAATGCATGTCCATTCATTTATATCTATTCATACTGTATCTGTAATACATATTATAGTCCTATCTTCATATTCTACTATAAGGAAGTGCGAGTAGGTATAAATTATTTAAAACATTCTGCCATTATTTATCCCTCTTTCCATTTCTTTCTCCCATCTCTGTGACAATGTGAGGACAATTCTGGCAAGCAACTAACCTTTTTATATTATGTTATGCACTGTTAGTGGATGGTGATGATGTGCTAAACAGAACACAGACATTTGATATTTGAAAAAAATGTAAGATCTATATAATCAAATTTTACTGTAGGATAAATCTGAAAATTTTAAGTTAGTATTCTTACTGGTGAATTGCAAGTTAATTAAATTAATTAATAAAACAATTTACATTGAGAAAACCAAACAAATCCAACAATACAAACAGAAAAAATTAACTTAAAACATAATTTGAAGTAGAATAAATAGCAAATAGTTAAGAATCTCTTAAGAATCAACAGACAGAGGAAGCAATCCTACATCCTTTTAACCAGAGCATGGAGATATCCCACAAAATGTTTATAAAAAATACATCCTCGTGATTTGCTTTTATTTCATCTCTAATCTGCCACATAAAGTCACATTTATCTGTTTCAGTTTAAACTATCATTGACATCCTCTTTTCTCATGATTTTTTTATTTTTTATTTATACCCACCTTTATTATTTTTTATAAAGAACGCAAGGCATCAAACAATCTAATACTCTTCCTTCCTCCTATTTTCTTCACAACAACAACACTTTGAGGTGGATTGGGTTGAGAGAGAGAGAGAGAGCGAGAGAGAGAGAGCGAGAGAGAGCGAGAGAGAGAGAGAGAGAGAGAGAGAGAGAGAGAGAGAGTGAGTGAGTGGTATGGGTGTTGAAGGCATGCCCTCTCCCCTTCATCACATGGCCATTTTCCTTGAGCTGCTGGAAAAAAATAGATACCTAATTTCTGCAGTAGTATCTGCTGTAGTAACCAATTGGTGTTTCAGAAAGTGCCAACTAGACACTTCGTGGTCTTCTTGAATTCATGGGTTTGTTTTTAAGAGAAGGGGACCTGTTTTTTTAAAATGTGAGTTTAATGCTCTTTTGAAAGAGCAATAACTTTTGTTTAAAAATAAGGTCTACAGCAGGGCTGTCAAACTTGCAGCCCATGGACTGGACGCATCATGCGCTGGTTTAGCAAAAGGGGGGGAGCCGCAATATGTCATGTGATGCCACCGTGACAATGCACATTTGACAGCCCTGGTCTAGAGTATAGATATTTAAATTAGAAGAACGCTAGACCTCTGTTCATGAATAGCCTGATTGAAGTACAAATTTGCCTCTTACCTGACACTCAGGAGACTTTAAGGACAGCTACATTCTTTGCCCCAGGCACCCATCTGCACTCTTAAGTGCTTTAACACACATTAAAGAGAATGGTTGATCCTTATTTTCCAGGTAGTATTCAGTGGGAAAGTCCCGGAATTCCCCCAATCTTTTTCTTCAACTTTTTCCTCATTAAGAACAGGGAGGAAAAGGAGGGAGACTGGAAGAATACATCAAGTTGATGAAAGTGTGTTTGAGAAAAATGTAGTTATTTAACTAACTGTTTGAACAACAGTTTGTACTAAAAGTCTTTTAGAGATTAAAAAACAACTTTTTTTTCTTGCAGAAGACTGAATAAAAATGGAATATGTGAAATTGAAAACCATGCCTTCAATGGGACTATCTTGTCTGAGCTGTGCGTATATTTGTATTGTATTGTATTGTATTGTATTGTATTGTATTGTATTGTATTGTATTGTATTGTCACATTATGTTACATTATGTTACTTTATATGGAATTTTTTAAAGATTTCCTGTGAAATAGTTACTGCAGCAAAAACTTTCATTTCACTTTCTCACTGTTTAAAAATATAGTATGTTCTCTAAACTATGGTTACATTAGCAGTGTGTGGGAAAATATTTTTGTCCTATGCAGTGGTGAAATCCATTTTTTTTTACTACCGGTTCTGTGGGCGTGGCTTGGTGGGCGTGGTGTGGCTTGGTGGACGTGGCAGCGGAAGGATACTTCAAAATCCCCATTCCCTCCCCACTCCTGGGGGAAGGATATTGCAAAATCTCCATTCCCACCCCACTCTGGGGCCAGCCAGTGGTGGTATCGACCAGTTCTCCGAAATGCTCAAAATTTCCGCTACCGGTTCTCCAGAACCTGTCAAAACCTGCTGGATTGCACCCCTGGTCCTATGTCAGTGGCATAAGGGAGAGGAAGAATGAATTTTACCAAAGCTTTGTACTTTATATATCCTCTCTGCCCAATATCTGGAATGGAACTTATATACTTGCTTAAAGGACTGTCATGTTAATTTGTTGCATCAAAGCTTTTGCCAGGCTTTCTAAATCCAGGGCTCTATCAAAAGGCATCTAGAAGGCACCAATAAGAAAAACATATAATTATGAATAAATAATTTAAAAGTAATATTCTTTTGAACAGAGAGTGTTAAGTAAGTTAGATACCAAAGACAAACTCTCAAAGTTCTTAACTTTTGAAATATTCCGCAAGAATTCAAATGCTACCTACATACCTGAATATTGGAATCAGCTGACAATATTCCAAATGGGAGGTCATTCTTGATTTTCAGAATGGAACTGTAGACTGTAGAATAACCTTTGACTTAAAAGAACATTCTCCAAGATGGCATCTTCAGTTGTATGGAAACTGCCATACCAGAATTCCCAGTAAACATGGCCAAGAGAAATCTAAATTAAATGAAATCATTTAAGCAATGCAATTAGCTGAATGAAGGGATGAAATTAAATCAGAATTTTCCAAACTTGTAAACCAGGATTCTCAGACCTTTCTGAAACCATATATTGCTGACATGGAATGGCTCTCATGATGAAACTGTCATGAAATTAAATGGTTATGGTCATGTCCTAAAATGGTCAGATCCAAAATAGTCATTTACCAAATGCAACTGGTAAAGATCTCCCCTTTTTTTTTTCTAGCTTTCCCAGGATACATGCTAGCATAGCTCTCTCTATTATAGGGACCGATGGATACATTTCCAAGTGTCACACAGCATTGCAGCAATATTTATTTTCTGAAGGAAGCCTGTGAACCTGCATGAAGCTCATTTTTTTTCTTGGGAAAAATATTGTTGGATGGCCTTTTGTTTTTCAGAAGCTTTTCATCATAAAGCAACCTTGTCAAATGTCACAGGGAATCTGTGAGCAATTAGAGAGGTCTCTAAAGATATATGAATATGTGGATATCTTCTTGAAGTACCTAGCTTTAAACAATTGTTGTTTATTTTTTGTGTCTCTAACAGAAATCTGAGTGATAATTATAACCTAGAAAAGTTACCTAATGAAGTTTTCCAAGGAGCTCATGGACCAGGTTATTTGTAAGTAATAATTCTTGTTATATGCTTACTATTGCTGATGCTTATATAATCTCAGATAAGTAGATGTTAAGATACCATCACGGCTCATATTAAAAAAAAATGCATGTGGCTTTATGAAATTTAAGAAGCATTTAAATTTCATCACTGCATGAATCTCTTCATTCCGCACTGTATATTTACTTTTGATTCTTTGCTCCCCTAAAGAGCATAAAATAATTAACACATAATTCCCAATTTATGATTCATTTAAGGAGCTTTGGGTATATAAAAAACTAAGGAATATATTTCCTCATGAACTGGCAATGGCTTCCAATTTAGATAAGCTAAAAGGAAGTGAGAAAAATTCATAGTCAATAGAGTTACAGATTGTAGGGATTAAAAGGAATCTTGGAGGTCAGAGGTGGATTTCAGCAGGTTCTGACCAGTTCTGGAGAACCAGTAGCGGAAATTTTCAGTACTTCAGACAACTGGTAATAAAAATTCTAACTGGCCCCGCCCTCATCTATTCTCTGCCTCCCAAGTCCCAGCTGATTGGGAGGAAATGGGGATTTTGCAGTAACCTTCCCCTGGATTGGGGTAGGAATGGAGATTTTACAATATCCTTCCCCTGCCACCCCCACCAAGCCATGCCCACCAAGCCATGCCACATCCACAAAGCCACACCCACAGAACCGGTAGTAAAAATTTTTGAAACCCACCACTGTTAGAGGTCATCTAGTCCAAACTCCTACTCATTTCAAGAATCCATCAGAATCTCCATTGCTGATAGCCATTCAACATCCTTTCAGAAGTATCCACCAAGACAGAGTCCCATTTTTCTAAGCAGACTGTTTCACTACTTAATTTATCCGAATATTCCACCTGAATCATGTTCTTTTAGTTTTCAACCATTGATTCTGCCTTGATCTGACAGGCTTATAGGCATTTGTAGTATGTTGCTACATCTGCCTTTTTATTTAGTTTTATAAACATGCCCATCTCCTTTAAGATTTAGCCTCTGGGGTCCTTCATTTAAGAGATAGATGCTCCAGTCTCTTCATATCTTTTTGAAGCTGTGGTGCCCAGAATGGGACCCAGTACTCCAGTTCACTATAACCAGTACAAAGTATAATGGATAAACTAAATGAAAACTCCATATTCAGAGGCAAAAACAGGGAAGTATTTCAGCATTTTATGTGTGTGTATATGTATGCTATTTGGCGCCATATTGTAATACGTTATGGATAGATGCACCAATGTCATCTTGTTATGCTATTCTTCATCGGACAGTCAGCCAGATGTTCAGACTGAATTTGGCATTTTTGTCCACCTATCAAGTCCTTTCCAAGGGCTTGGAATAGGGCAGATGTGGATGTTTGATAGTCTTTAAGGTATGACCGCAGTATGTAAGCTGTCCCAAGTAAAACTGCCTTTTGCAATTAACTGATGGTGATTTTTTCAATTCCAGTGATGTTCAAGTAGTGCTCCAGTTGTTTTGGGATTGCACCCAAAATGCCTATATTATTATTATCAAATTTATTTGCTGCCCATCTAGTGTTTCAAGGAAACACTGATATGATAAAGGTTCATATCACCTTTATCATTTTGGGATTATTATGATTCTGATTATTATTAGTAGTAGTAATAGTATCCCTCAAATCAAAAGCAATGGAATAGATCAGGGTAGCCCCAAAGAGGAAGAGAAGCAGGAAGTCCTAAGTACCATGTTGGCAAACTCTAACATACCATATTGTACGGTATATACAATAAATTTCCACACATTCTGATCTTTTTCAATAACTTGTTGGAAAGCAAAATTCTACTCTGCCCATCACAAAGCCAACTTATTCTACTCATTTTTATTTAATTTTGATTGCTACTTTTGCCCTTTTAATCTATCTTCCCAGGCAGGAGGGCCAATTAATCCCTCTACAGTTTTTGTATTTACTGTATCATTCACTTATATAGGGGAATAGTAACAGATTCTTCCAATTGGCCAAGCATAAATACACAGGTTTAATATACTGTACAACCAATTCATATGAAAACCACATAATTTGTTTTAACATTTCTCTATTTACACCATCAGTATCAGCAATTTTACAATGTTTCCATATTCTCGTGTATTTATTATTTGCTTTTCATCATTGGGTGGATGTTAAATTGGATAGCATTTTCTTCAAATTCATTCTTCAACCTATGAATTTTAATTCCCATGCAAATCTCTAAAATATACTTTCTATCATTCCTTCACTTCAATTTCAGCCCAAATCATTTCATCATTTTTATTTTTAATTCCTTTCACTCTCCTGCAGGCACCTTTTTATTCATCTCCACCTATTTCCAAAATAATGTTATTTCAATCAAAATCACTCTACATTTTCTCTGCCTCTTTTAATCTTAATTGTGCTTTGTTTTTACTTTTTATAAGCAGAATACAATATTTTTCTCTCACCTTTTTTTTCGCAGCACTAATTCTTTTACATGCATTTTTATCCACGTGTACATTTCATCATTCTCCAAAAATCCTTCTTACTTTTTACTTACTTTATATACAGCAATTTAATTGCTATTTGCAATCTGGGAGTCCTTCTGGATACGCAGCTGTCCTTGGAGGAACATCTGACGGCTGTGGCCAGGGGGACTTTTTGTCAGGTTCGCCTGATATGCCAGTTGCGCCCCTTTCTTGATCAGGATTCCCTAAGGACAGTCACTCATGCCCTCATCACCTCTCACCTGGACTACTGCAATGCTCTCTACATGGGGCTCCCCTTGAGGGGCACCCAGAGGCTCCAACTGGTCCAGAATGCGGCCACGCGGGTAGTTACAGGAACTGCATGGCGCTCCCATACAACACCTCTCCTGCATGAGCTGCACTGGCTCCCAGTGGTCTTCCGGGTGAGCTTCAAGATGTTGGTTATCACCTTTAAAGCGCTCCATGGCATAGGACCTAGATATCTTCGAGACCGCCTGCTGTTACCGACGGCCTCCCATCAACCTGAGCACTCCCACAGAGAGGGCCTCCTCGGGGTGCCATCAGCCAAACAATGTAGGCTGGTGACCCCCAGTGGGAGGGCCTTCTCTGTGGGGGCACCTACCCTCTGGAACCAGCTGCCCCCAGAGATAAGGAGAATCCAAGACCTCGGTGCCTTCCGCCGTGCCCTTAAAACCTTTTTCCAGCAAGCCGGGCTGGCTTAGCACTCTTAAATGTTTTTAATTGGTTTGTCATTGTTTTTTAATTACGGGGCCAAATTTATATATATCTTTTTAATAGTATTTTAATGTTTGTAGTCTATGTTTTTATTTGGCTGTACACCGCCCTGAGTCCTCAGGGAGAAGGGCGGTATATAAATTTGATATAAAATAAAATAAATAAAATAAATTCGGAATTCAAGACTTAAGAGAGTCAACCATGCTATTTAATAAAAGGCTATTCATTATGCTGGAAAAAGAACAAGAGCAAAAATATTGATTTATCTGGCAATTCTGTTTTTGCCAAGCAAAAATGTTACTTCAAGCCAATCGCTCTTGTAATTGAAAATATATTTAGTGTAAGGTGACAGATCTCTAGAAGAACACTGTTCCATGAAGTTGGCGAGGATCAAAAAAGGCAATTCATCATCTATGATACAATGGTAATAAAACAAAATAATTCTCATAAAAATAACTCAATGTTTGAATTTAAACAATTGGATGAAACTGAATTGCAGTGAAATCAATTTGATAATCTTTTAGTACATATTTGTATTCGGCTCCTGCTTACAAAAGTATTGCATTAACATTGTCCTAAAGCAGGGGTGAAATCCAGCAGGTTCTGACAGGTTCTGGAGAACCGATAGTAGAAATTTTGAGCAGTTTGGAGAACCGGCAGCAGAAATTTTGAGTAGTCCAGAGAACCGGCCAATACCACCTCTGGCTGGCCCCAGAGTGGGGTGGGAATGGAGATTTTGCAATATCCTTCCCCCAGGAGTGGGGTGGGAATGGGGATTTTGCAGTATCCTTCCCCTGGAGTGGAGTGGGAATGGAGATTTTGCAGTATCCTTCCCCTGCCATGCCCACCAAGCCACGTCCACCAAGGCACACCATGCCCACCAAGCCATGCCCACAGAACCAGTAGTTAAAAAAAATTGATTTCACCACTGTCCTAAAGGAAATATATAACCACACACACACACACACACACACACACACACACGCATCTCATCCCACGTCTCATCCCCAGAGAAACATTTATTGTTTAAATGGAGCTCTAGTAACTGTATATCCAAATGTGAAGTAGAATTGGCATCCTGTACAGAAAATAGAGTAGAATAGAATTCTTTATTGGCCAAGCGTGATTGAACACAAGGAATTTGTCTTTGGTGTATATGCTCTCAGTGTACATAAGGAGAATAAAATACATTCATCGAGAATAAAAAGAATAAAAAGAAAATAACGTCTAAGGGTTTTCCAAAGAGGTAAATGAGGACACATTTGGAAATTTGAGGATCATGTGAGACTAATAGTGTTATGACAAGCAGACGAGCTTTTACCATGAAACAGTAAAAAAACCCTAACAAAAATAAAACTCCTATTCTTCACTGCATAATTAGATTTAATTGTCTAGGTGTAAATAGCATATTTAAACAAGAGGTTGAAGAATCACTTATTTGAATTATTTTCCATATAACAACAAAATGGAAACTTGAATAGATGTGGAATTTCAAATAAATTGTGTATGGTTAATAGCATTTTGTCAAAAAAGGATCTAATTTTCCAAAGAAAAAGTGATGCAACACCTACCTTTGGAGATACAAACTTCCTGAAGAACAGAGAAATTGTTCAGCTTCATGCTGCACACAGATAGAGCCTTAAATGCTGGAAACTCTGCAACTGGCTCTTATCAATTCTGATAAGTCAAGATGTTCTCTCATGCAACGTGTTCTTGCCTTCTAGCTTCCGTCTTCCCTCTAGGCATGATATTGAGAAACTAGTGCAGGATCTAAGTTTGCAGAGGGAGAGTCTGAAGCAAGGGGATTTAATTCTGCCTCAGCACCAGGGCTAGGACCTGCTCCCTCAACAGGAAGTTTGTCTGTTGTTGTGTCCTGTTTCATTGTTCTCTCATGGGGCATGATAAAGGATCCTTCCAATGATGAGAATCACAGCAGACCACAAGGCTTCCTTGGTACAGGAGGAGAACATGTGGTTAAAAGGATTGAAATGTACATTGTATTAAAAACTTAAAGCAATTTTTTAATAAAATGATGTATCTTTGTCACCAGAAAAATTGTCTAGAATGCATAAATGTATTTCAAGTTTATGTTAGAAACATGAACAACATGAAGGGACATTTTATCATGCTTGGTGGAAACTTAAAAAGCCAGAAAGTTTTGGATTCAGTAATTCAGAAGATTTTAAAGATTAATATACAATTGGATCCAGAGGTTTTTCTTTTGGAACTTATCAATAAACAATTGGGGGGGAAAGTCATGGAACTTTATTTTATCTATATGAAAACTGTAGCAAGATTATTACACGAATGAAACAAAAAAACATAAGATTTATGGATTTAATGATTAGAAAAGAGATTATTAACAAGTGAGAGAGTCATTGTAAGAGATAAATTTATATTTATAACTGCTGTAAAGAAAATCAGAAACTATTTCTTTATAGTTTCTTTCTTTTCTTTTTTTTTCTGCACTTTTGGCTTTGTTTTCTTTTTGCTGTCTTCTTCTGTCTTAATATTAGTTTCTATTAGTTTTTACCTTTTTTTAATTTTAATAAAATTATGTGGATAAAACCCCTCTTCCTTCGAACCAATTAGTTGAGCTCTTGGCCTTTCAATATGAGCAACTTCTATCTAGTTGCCTTCCAATGTGGATGTGTTTGTGCACTCAAAACCATAAACACATAAAATAATAATGCCAGGATGAAAGGTTCTTTTCCAGCAATAGGTATTGCTGATGACAAACTACGTTTTTCTTAATATTTTTTTTTTATTTTTAGATAATTAGCACCAACGTGGCCCAAATTCTTCAAAACAACAATGTTGTGAGCCAGAAATGGCCTTCTTGATTCTTGGCAGGACTCCGTAGTCATTTTTTTCTCTTAGTGGTCATATTGATTTTGTCCTAATTGTCAATTTTCTGCAATGAACACAGACTATTCCCTCCAATCCCTTTTCAGCCACAGCTTCTCCCTCAATCAGTTTTTCTCACTTCATCAGTTTTCTGTTATCATCCAACCTTCGCTCTTTTGGGTTTCTTTTCTCCTTTAGGCCACTCATGTAAAATGAAAAGAATTCTGCCCCAACTGCTAATCCTGCAGGATATTTTCCTCCCTCAGTGATTTAAATCTATCTATTTTCCTCTTTCAGCTGTACTGATTCATTCTGAAACATGCACACAGAACTTCTTCATCAAGCCCAGATTGCCATTTCTGAAAAAAAAAAAAGAAAATCCTATCTTTTTCTAGCCTAGACCTCAAAGAGATTGCTTGCTCTTGGTACCTTTATTTATTTACAAGCTTCTCTTGAAAATGAAAAGTTAACTATTTTCTACTTCTGCAGCTAATTTCTACTTCAAATGCTAATCTGTGATAATAAAGGAGGGTCATGAACATTCTAATTTCTCAAGAAAATGTGTCAGCTCAAGCAGAACTTTGGCAAACCCTGTGAATTCTGAGAAGGCAAGAGAAGAAGAAAAAATAAGCCGTGATCTAAAATCAAAAGAGGCAAAGTGTTAAAGTATCAAGGGAAAAAATAGCCAATACGTAAATGGGTTTTAGAGACACTCCATCCTGAGGGTCAGAGGGTGGAGGGGAACTGCCAATGACAGTAAGATTATAATTAGAGCAGGCTAAGGAAATTTCAGTGCCTGTTTCTTTAACAACTGTGTGACAATTTTAATTTTGTAATTAGCCAAAGTGAAAAAGCTGCTCATGGTGAAATCCCATCTTCATAAAAAATAATAAAAGTATGAAGTCTTTGGGGTATTTTAGCTCAAAGTTTACACTTTTAAGGAGAAAGTAGGCATTCAGCTCAAGTATTAGGAGCTCTGGTAGCGCAGCAGACTAAAGCACTGTTATTAACATCAGCTGCCTGCAATTACTGTAAATTCAAATCTCACCAGGCTCAAGGTTGACTCAGCCTTCCATCCTTTCTAAGGTAGGTAAAATGAGGACCCAGACTGTGGGGGAAATAAGCTGACTTTGTATAAATATACAAAAGTATGAAGGCTATTGCTTAACGCATTGTAAGCCGCCCTGAGTCTTCGGAGAAGGGCAGCATATAAATCAATTTTTTTTTTAAAAAAAAGTGCAGTATGTCTACTGCAGGTAAGACCCAGTCATTTCACAGGAAAGTGCTCCCAATTTTTGGACAGGATTGTACAACCTATATTTTTTTCATTTCTTTATCAGAAATGAAACTGCTAACAAAGATGACATTGAAGTATTTCCAACATTGCAGAGAAATCATTAATGAAACTGTGTAGCATCTGAAATTCTCATTATCTTTTCTTACAGGGATATTTCTGAGACAAAAATCAGTCAACTACCAAACATTGGTCTAGAGCACATTAACAAGTTGGTAGCGAAATCTACATACAACTTAAAAAAGCTCCCTCCCTTGGACAAGTTCCATGCTTTGATTGAGGCAAACCTCACATATCCAAGCCATTGCTGTGCATTTGAAAATCGGACTAAACAAAAGTGAGTAGCTTATTTGTTTTCCATGTAGGGTTTTGATGCATTTGTGACTGCCACAGTCTGCTTTGATTTTCATGACTAGCCTAAGTAACATGCAATTTGTTTAATCTGCCAGGCAGGAGGGAAAAAAATCATGCAGTCAGCCCTTAGGTTTCTCAGCCCACCAAAAAATATAAATGTTACAGACTTTCCTTCTCTCAACAAGTTGGATACTGATTCTAGTGGCCAAGTTTCTTCCTGATTAACCAGTCACAAGAGATGGACATGTGGCCCTCTAAAATATGGTTACATTCTATTTTTTAATAGTCCTAACTAGAAGGCAATAACATCTGGAAGACGTTTAAAAGAAGCTCTGCTCCTTTCTGGCTTTTGGGGGTGTAACAGAGAGTTCAAATGGTAGCTATATCAACAAGGATTTTTTTTGTAAGAATTAATGAGGATTGGGTTAAATATTTTATTTCTGAAACTTATATAGCACCCATCTAATGAAAATAAATGATTTTGCATGGTGTACAAGACTATAAAACAGCTAACATATACAAAATGATTAGTATTTTTTTAAAAAAGTAACTGAGGTTCATTGGGCTAAAATAACATTTCTTCCTTAGAATGAGTGTTTCCTTTCAAATGTGTAGAAAGGACTGGATGGCAAAGGCTAAATATATTTCATGGTATTTAAAACTCAGATATTTTATTTACTCTAACATTGAATATTTTGTATATAGCTCTAAATAACTCTTAAGTTTATTAAAAATGTAATAAAAAAGCCCTCTAGATTTGAATAAAATTGGTTTCTTGGTCATATTTGAGCCTAATAAGCTAGTAGCTCCTCCACATATTCCCATCAGGAGCTCAAAAACATAACTGGACTACTTTGACTGTCACCAAGAAAGATCAAAGAGTCTTCAATTTTTGATGGTAGTTTAAAGACAAACAGGAAGCATTTTACATGAAGAGATTAATATTCTTTTAAAGCTAACATTCTCTGTTTGTATGCCTACCTGCCCCTCCTGAATTCAGCAGCTATGTAAAGAAATTCCCTTTCTACCCAAAGTATCATCAGCTCTAGCCCTCTTCTCAAGAGAATGGCTCCTGTGAAAAAATATTTCTGCAACTTTCCCTCATTTAGAAACACAAGAAGGATAAAGCAGGCCTTGGCATTTGGACGGCCTTCAGGCAGGAGAAAAATGAAAACAGTGAAATAGATATCACCACTGTGTTCATTTTAATAACTCCAGTTTTCAGATATAATCATTAGCACAACCCCCCATGGAGTTTCACTGGTGCTAATCATCAGGTCTTCTCATCGTCTTAAATCAGACTTCCTTCATGTTGATTTGTCATTCCTGTAAAACTTAGGCCTTCAAGCATCAAGAGACCCCCTCATTTATTTCTGTCATTTCAAGTATTCTTTGAGATGTGCACAATGACCAGTTTAATTAACCCTTAAGCTATTTCAGTTGCTTTGCTGATTATGTTTCTAACTTTTCCACAAATGTATGTTTCACATCAGAAGTGGGCTGTTCTCAGTCTTTGATATTTTAGCTTTCTTTGAAATAACACCTATCTTCAGCATTTGATATTTGTTAACCAGGACTCCATACATATGGATGTCTTGAAGACTGCAGCAAGGCTATACAATCTTTTCAAGCCAACATTCATATTTGAATACTATGATATGAGAAAAGTCCACCCCAAAAGTAGTTAGGGACAGATAAATAATTATATTGATTTGATTTGATTTAAATGATTGAATAGTTATTTAAATTAAATAATTAATTTAAATAATTGAATAGTTTATAGGATTATAACCTATATATTTAATAATTTTGATACTTTTCTCCATAGAATAAAATTATAGGGGTGAAAGGGAGCTTAAAGATCTTCTAGTTCAATTCTCTGCCCAAGGCAGGAATCCTTATACCACCTTAGGCAAATGGTTATCCATTTGTTCTTGAAAACCTCCAGCAATGGAGCACCCAATACTCCGTGGGGCAAGCTGTTCCATTGATTAATCCTTTTCACTGTTAGAAAAGTCCTCCTTGTTTCCAAAGTGGATCTGCTTCTGATGAGCTTCCAGCCCTATTTCTTGTAAAATATTTTACAAGACCATGTTTTAATTTAATTTTAAACAATTTTAACATAGTTTTAAAAATTACCATTTGCTGAAAATTTTTGAAAGGCCTTTGTGGGAACTTTTATAAAAGAGTTTCAGAAAATATATACAACACAAGCTACTGATCATTGGCATATATAGATTATGTTAGAAGCAAATGTTTATTTTTTCTGAGCAAAAAATAATTATTGCTTTCTCCTACACGTTCATAATCTTTGTGATACTAAAACTCTTCTCATTAATGCCCCATCCACAACAGCTAGTGAGATGTCACTACATATATGGCTATTTTATTATTTAGGATAAATTAACCTCCAGAATCACGTGAAGGTTACAGAGATACTATACATAAATAAGAGAGCAAGTAATATAGTTACAGACTGTTTGAAAGGTAACCAATGGCATGTCTACACCAGTGTTTTGCCTTAGTTAAGGATTGGCTCTAGATTTCACAGACATAACCACAGTTTGTCTTGGGGAACTGAGTTCATTTATTGGAGAATTCTGCTAGTTTGTTTGAAACAGTGGCAATGCTGGTATTTTCTTCTGGATTGCTACCAACCTTGTAGAAGGTTTGTTTTCCCATTGGCAGACCTAAAGCTTCAGCCTCCCTTGCATTCCTAACGTGAAATTAGTTATTACTGTTCTGTCTCTGAAGCTTAACTCTTCCAGTACATATTCTTAAGAATTTATTTCCTCTCTCCCCCATTCCAGCCACATGCAATCACGATGGACTTAAATATCAACATTCTCCAAATGTTACATCATTTTTACCATTTGTAAGGGCTTTTAAAACAAAACTGAGTAATCAGTTGCAAGGCAGTATTTTGGGGGATGCTTTTGCTTTTTATTTTTTTTTTAAAGTTAAACTTCCCTTGCTTTATAACTGGACTGCAAGATTCTGGACAACCACTATGTATATAGTAGCAAATAGTATTCTCTGCCACTGTGACCTAGAAGCCATCCAGACTTTTGCAGCCTAGATATATTACTCCTAATCATAACACCACTCAATTTTGTATTTGTGTGTATGTGTAATTACAAAGTGATGGGAACTTCATTTTTTTTTTTTTTGAAGTGCAGACTGAAAACACAAACAAATTTCATGAGTGGGAGGCCTTACCATATGACCAGTTATAGCTCAAGCAAGTAGCTGCTGGTATACATTTTTTTTCTGCCTGGCATGCAAATAAGTTCATAATCCAATCTGTACTTCATGCCCTCCTGACTTCTTTCCTATCAGACTAAACATAACATATCAAACTAAAAAAAAAAAAAAGTGGGGAATTTTGTTTTATTTCACTGACTAGCACTAAAGAACACTTGAATTCAATCCAAGTTTCCCACTCACCCACTCTACCCACGAGAAAAAAAAGACCAGAAATCAAGTTTATTCATGATGACGATGATGATAATGCCCCTATACCCTTCTGGTCGTACATGGCCCCAGTAAAATCCACAGCAGAAAAGTGGCATAGAATAAAGTGGGGGAGGGAGTATTCACTGCCACTGCTGCCCCTCCATCTCCATCCTTTGCTGCCACTCCTGAATTAGCCTCAATCACCAGCAGCACTTTCATCAGAGTCCTCTCCCTCATCCCTTCAGCTGGCAAAGGGATGCTTTGCAATGACAGAGAAGGTGGGTGTGTATTTTATGCCACTGCAGCCATGTGACTTTTATTTTCCCTTTTTCCCACACATTTTAAATACCTGCAGCCTGAGTAGGCTAGGTATTTCACTCTCACCATTAACAGCCTCTTCTCTGGCCTTGCAGAGCGAGGTCACTTAATGATGCTTCTGGAGACTGCAAATTCCATCTCTGATTTTCTTACCTCTGTTAGCCATCACTCTTTGTTTTAAATGTTGCCTACTGCTGAAGGAATTACCTGCTTAAGCTTCCACACAACTTAAAGAAAAACATCTGCCAGGTGTCCTCCAAACTTGGTAGCCAGTTATGATGTCTTCTGACATCATAATTTTTATTTTTAAAAAATAAAAATTTGTTGACATTATTAGTATTTTCCCAGAATTCACAATTAGTATTTCTGTTAATATTGGCACTGTATATCCCAGGTTCTGACTATACTATTTTCATCTTTTTCAGTTCTGTGATCCACCCTATATGCAATAAATCTGCACTTTCAGAAGAGTCTGATGAGCTCAGTTTTGAGCTGGATGAAAATGATTACTATCAAGCTCTATGTAGAGAAGAATTTAAAGTGGCTTGCTTCCCAGAGCCTGATGCCTTCAACCCATGTGAAGACATAATGGGCCACATAATTCTCCGAGTTCTCATATGGTTCATCAATATCTTGGCCATCATGGGGAACCTTGTTGTGCTCATCATTTTAGTTAGCAGCCAATACAAGCTCACTGTCCCTCGATTCCTTATGTGTAATCTTGCATTTGCTGATCTTTGCACAGGTATTTATTTATTATTGATTGCCATCAAAGACATGCAGAGTAGAACTCAGTATTATAACTATGCTATTGACTGGCAAACTGGGGCTGGTTGCAATACAGCCGGTTTTTTCACTGTGTTTGCAAGTGAACTCTCCGTATACACTTTAACCGTCATCACATTAGAACGATGGCATACCATCACCTATGCTATGGAACTAGACCGCAAAGTCCGCTTCCGACATGCAGTGGTAATTATGTTGGTAGGATGGGTCTTTGCCTTCACAGTGGCCCTCCTTCCCATATTTGAAGTCAGCAGCTACATGAAAGTTAGCATCTGCCTACCTATGGATATCGAAACGCTGCTTGCCCAAACCTACGTCATGTTTTTGCTGATATTAAATATTCTTGCATTTGTTATCATCTGCTCCTGCTACATCAGCATCTACTTCACGGTGAGGAATCCCAATGTTTTCTCATCCAATAGTGACACCAAGATTGCCAAACGCATGGCCATACTGATCTTCACAGATTTCCTTTGCATGGCACCAATCTCCTTTTTTGCCATTTCAGCATCACTCAAGGTCCCTCTGATCACTGTGTCCAATTCAAAGATCCTCCTTGTTTTGTTCTACCCCATTAATTCATGTGCCAATCCATTTCTTTATGCTATCTTCACAAAGACATTTCGCAGGGATTTCTTCATCCTACTAAGTAAGTTTGGCTGCTGTGAAATGTACGCTCAGATTTATAGAACGGAAACTTCCTCTTCTGTTCATACCTCCCATATGAAAAATGGGCATTGTACACCAGCTTCTAAAACCAGCGATGGAACCATTTATTCATTAGTGCCTCTGAATCATGTGAACTGAAGCAGAATGGCTGTAAATTTATGTCAAAGGTTATCAAATGGTGATCCTTGCTTCCTTGGGAAGATGAAGGCAATTACAAGAAATGACAAATATTTTCCATAATCTCAAATTGCTATTTAGCTGTTTAGTTCTCAGGCATACCACACAGATATAAAATTCAGCTGATGGGGTTAAATGTATCCTGTTTCCCCCAAAATAAGACATCCCCTGATAATAAGCCCAATCGGGCTTTTGAGCGCATGGCAATAAGGCCAAGCGCTTATTTCAGGGTTCAATAAAATATAAGACAGGGTTTTATTTTTGGGGAAACACGATAGTTATTAACATGTGATATTATTGCTGAAATATTTTGATTTAGCCAACTTGATAAAGCACATAGTGTTAGCTGCAAACTTAGCTATATTTAAAATAGATTTATTCAGATCAATGAGAATTATGTTCATCAGTAACTTTAAAAAGTTCTCTACTTACTATGACTAGCTCTGGATCGAAGCTATTTGTGAATGTACTCTCCAAACTAAACTGATTTTTTTTTTCATGATAGAGATCCAAGTAATAATATACTTTTGCTTACTATGGACTTCTTTAATGAGCAGATAAAATAAATTTACACCAAGTTGACACTGGTGTAATCTAGATCAGAACTATCTGCTACAACTAACATCTTCAAAATCTTGGGCAAGTTCATTTTCCAGTAATTTTCCTATCTGAAATCTCATTAAAGAATCTAACAAGCCAGAAACCAAACCTTTATGTATAAAATGCATGCTGTGTCACTCTTTTAGTAAGATCTTCCTACATTTACCTTAGCAATAAATGTCAAATGCTCTGAGACTTAATAAAATTAGGTGATCAAATATTGTACATTGTTGGAACCATAGATCCTTGCTTCCCTTTTTTTACCATTCTTCAGATCAAAGAAACATGAAAGCCATCAAATCCATATAATGCAAAGGTCAGGAATCTCCAATTCAAAAGCAGAAATCTCAATCCAGATCTTTGTGAATTGTCAAAAATATATCCCCTTTATAGTCCATTCTAAGTTACTTTTTCTGGTCTGTTCCTTGATTACAAAGCTGATGGAAGAAACGTCTATAAGTTATGAAAGGGATTCCTGGCTACAGATGGTTTGTTTGCTGTTGTTGGGTACTAAATAAAAGATTTGTCAAATCCTTTTTTGCCTGCAAGAATAGCAAAGGAACACTGCTTAACTAAGTACATGTTCCCCCACACGACAGACCAAGGTAGGAAGAGGAGAGATTACAGTTAGAAAAATTATATAATAAGTTATCTTCCCCCTCCTTTCACAGTTAAATGATGGGTTCAGTAAACATGATAACATGTGCGTATTGCTAGGCCTGGACGAAATGTTGAATAATTTGTTAATGTTTAACTAAATTATTATAGCTTATAATTTTGCCTTAATGTGATCTTAGTAATCATAATAAATGTAGATAATGGTTGGTAGCTGGAGAAGGCTCCTGCATATTCCTGGGACAGCAAAGATGACTGGCAAGCAAGTGCTGGAATGCATAATACCAGACATGTCACTAGAAGGCAAAATCACAAAACCTCATCTTATTTACTTTGGCCATGACGTGGGGGAATTCATTGGAGAAAGCATTTATGTTTGGAAGTGTTAGCAGTAAAAGGAAACCAGGCCATCAAAGAACAAGGTGGCTGGACACCATCAAAGCTGACACCAACCAGAGCATAGAAAAACTGAAAGAACTAGTGCAAGATCAGAAGATGTGGAGACACCTGGCCCACAGAATTACCAAGAATCAGATTTGATTGAATGGATAATATCATCATCATCAAGAAAGCAGAACCTCTTAACTCCTATTTTGCACATATCTTCTCAGAATGGAAATGGATTATAGTTAAGCCATTGGAGAAAGAATGGATGATCAAGGGCAGTTGTGATAGCATGGACTTCTTTTCTTGCCCCAGACTGTAGGACCAGAACCAATGAATTAAAGCTACAAGGAAAGAGTAGAAAAGACTTTTACATGAAGTGATGACCTGTCCTTCTCTGGAGGTGCTCAGACAGAAGTTGAAAGGCTATCTGGCAGAGATGCTATAATGGATACTACAATGGATTGGACTAGATCTTCTCAACCTCAGCAACTTTAAGATGTTCAAAAGAATTGTGGGCTAGACAATGTTAAGGTCCCTTACAATCTTATGATTTAGGAAACTAGATTTTTTTTTTAATTGTGGACAGTCAGCATGGATTCCATATTTTTAAATAGACTGTTTTTGATATCTCCTGCTCAAAGAATAAGTCAGAAAACATTTTTCTTTGCAATAATAATAAAAATTCCAAAAATGTTAAGTCTCCATTTTGTATCATTTTTGAATGATAAAGAACAGGAATTAAATTTATGATGTAAGAAGATCTTGCTCAACATCCTCACCCATTTGAACAAAAATACACAGAAAACGTATTAATCCAGCACCATTTTGCAGATAATACAAAAAGCATTCAGTAAGATCTGGATAAAATATAGCATAACAAGAAAAATCAAATAACCAAATATAGGCTGAAGACTAACAAGCTAAGGAAAAACACTTTCAGTAAAGTTTTAGGGGGGTTGATAGAAAATCGACTGAGTAGTACAGTACAGATTGTTTTTAAATTCTTTCTCCCAAATTATTTTTGCATTTGGAGTTCCAAATTCTCTTATCTTGTTTCCCTCTTGAACCAACTATATAATTAGGTCTGAGCTAAATTTTCTCAAATCATTTAAGAGGAGGGAAAAAACGTATTCTTTTCCTTTCTCTTCACTTGATAGATATAAAAAATTTAGTAGATATTCAGTGTACACTGGACTCCCTCATCCAGTTTTTTCTCTACAATAGTCCTCTGAAGTCAGTTGATCTGAGTGTAAGTGACTAGCCAAGTCATCCAGTAAATTTCCAAACCCATTTTATACCATCTCAAGAAAAAGAAAACAGGGTCACTGTATTTAAATGTAAAAGATGGCTGCTAACAGTAACACAGGCAAATAAAGGTAAGGGAATGTGGAAGAAAGAGGGAATGGGGGGAAAAAAGATGCTATAAATCAGGGGTGTCAAATGTCATCGCATCATCATCACGTAATGTATTGGGACTTTTTTCCCCTTTGCTAAACCAGGGGTGGGCGTGGCCAGCACGTGACACATCCAGCCCACGGGCTGTGAGTTTGATACCCCTGCTATAAATCATTGCTGGAGTTGTGCCTTTGCCCTAAGAATCTGTTGGGGAAATTCTCCTTTTCCTGAAGAAATTGTGATGGAAGAGTCTGCAGTTTTCTTACTAGATAAGGGTTAAGTTATCCTTACAGCAGTCATTTGGTTTAATGACTGCTGTAAGGATAATTTAACTCTCCACCACCACTAATACATTTAGTAAAAAAAAAAAAATAGTTGTGAAGCTTCCACCTGTATATAATTCTCTATAACCCTAACAACTGAGAGGGTGGAACAGACCTAGAAGTTGTGGATACTGTGTGCTGGGAAACACATTTGAAGCATGAGTGACCATTAGACTTGACTTTCCTCAAGTATATTTCGTGGTATAATAACTCTGAAAGGCAAGGTACTGTTACAATCACTGTATTTCAGGTGAGCTATGCCAAGGCAATGCAAATTCTAGAGGTCTGCTTACAGTAAAGCTTATTCTGAAAGCTGACCAAAGACTTCTTATTCTCCAGTCTCATTTTAGGAGGTTTTTTTTTTTTTTTTTTTTTTAAAAAAATTTGATTTATATGCCGCCCTTCTCCGGAGACTCAGGGCGGCTTACAATGCGTTAAGCAATAGCCTTCATACTTTTGTATATTTATACAAAGTCAGCTTATTGCCCCCACAAACTGGGTCCTCATTTAACCTACCTTAGAAAGGATGGAAGGCTGAGTCAACCTTGAGCCTTGGAGAGATTCGAACCAGCAGTAAATTGCAGGCAGCTGTGTTAATAACAGGGTGCTTTAAACCACTGTAGTACCAAGGTTCTCAGTCATTTGAACAACTGCACCATTTAAGGCACATATTTTGCCATTTAAAACCTCTGCCCACCCCCCCAACCCAAAGTACATCCAAAGGACCCCAAATTTTTGACTCGCCAATAAGGGAGGAGCCCTTGCCTGGAAAGAATGCAAGCAGCCACACTTTTTGCACTCCCTATGACATTGCAATGCAATGCCCCATTCACATCAAAAATAGTTTTTCCCCTTTTCTGTATTTGTTAGTTGAAGCAGTGGTGAAATCCAAATTTTTTTACTACCGGTTCTGTGGCCATGGCTTGGTGGGCATGGTGTGGCTTGGTGGGTGTGGCAGGAGAAGGATACTGCAAAATCTCCATTCCCATTCTGGGGCCAGCCAGAGGTTGTATTTGCCAGTTCTCCAAACTACAACTAGTTTCCGCTACTGGTTCTCCGAACTGCTCAAAGTTTCTGCTATCAGTTCTCCAAAACCTTTCAGAACCTGCTGGATTTCACCCCTGAATTGAAGCCAATGGAGAAGTCTTTGTGTCAACAGGAGATGTTTCACTAAGTGAGAGCATTCCTCCCACCTTCCAAGTTCAATAAGTTTTTTTTTCCCTTCAGCCCACCTGCAACTTTAGACAGACAATGTTGATCTCTACCTTTTCATTTAGATGGAATGTTGGCTCGGTCATAGAAAATTCTAACCTAAAACTTTCATTCAGAGAAATAAAATGTACCCACATATCTTCTCTGAAGCCGCTGATGGCAGTGACAAATGTTCTCCACAGCACTATCAGAAGCCTTATTGATGCCTTTCAATTATACCATGTTCATACATTCCCAATTTGTTACTGCCCAAACTAATAACAGAGAAATAATAAATAACCTCATGGGAGAAGAATGGGAGGAATTTGTTAGTGAAGTCCCGAATAAGTCTTATCCTTATCTGCAGCTCCAGTTATCTGACCCACAGTCTACAACCAGGGTCGAAGTGACCTTTAGGTGGAACTGGCCCACAGCAAATTGAAAAGAGCAAATAAAAAACAGTCACTGAACACTCAGAAGGACATAATAGAAGTATGCAACTGAGAGAACAAAGTTAATGAACCTTTTTGTTCACCTGAAATAAGAAATGAGAATAAAAAAATTTCAGAGTTATCTTTTGCAAATAATAATTGTCTGGAGGGAGAAATAAAAAGTAATCTTAATCTTTCTCACTAACCCATTTTAGATGGTTGGTTAGGATGTAGCATATTGGATTACCTATGTGAGTTTCAGTGTTACATATGTGAACACTTTCTAATATCAGGCTTGCATATTCTTTTTTAAAAAATAGTTTATGTGACCTATGAAAAGTTTGAGAGTCCCTAGTATAGAGCATCTGCCCACCATTATTCCAGAGAGGAGCATTTGAAGTTGGGGATGGGGGGTGTAAGAGGTATGATTGAATACTTTCTCCTGTTTAAAAATAATTAAGTAAAATTCCCTGACACATAAAACTAGTATTCTTCCTCCAGTATTTTTAGACATACAGCAGCAGCATACTTTATTGTGGTCATAGACCAAAAAACCAAAACATCCAAGGCATGTAGCTGGCACAACATATGACATACAAATGTGGGTGCAATCTGTGTGCAGGGATTTCTTTCTCTAGAGAGTAAGCATGCATGGTGCATTCCTCTACTTGGAGCACTTCCCCACCAGTGGTGGGTTGCCCCCGGTTCGCACCGGTTCGCAAGAACCAGTTGTAAAACCGGCAGGAGGCCCGGCCCACCACCCCGGATATCATTATCGGTGATCTGTGCATGCGTAGAATCAAGGCACATGTGCAGAAGCAAGGCACGTGCACAATCTCGTTGCGAACTGGTAGTAAAAGTAAGTAGAACCCACCACTGTTCCCCACACACATTTGCACTCATCCCAAATAAGAGGAGCAACATGATAACAACCAAACCCCTCTTTTCATCTTTTCCCACTGTATTTTAAGATCTTCAGTTCTTTGTGCACTCCAACTATTCCCAAAAGCATTTCTGTGCTTCATTAGAAATTGTTTTGTTTTTTACTGCCTTGGCTTTTCTTTGTTTAGAGTTTCTCTGCTCAAAGCTGATTTTGGGAGGGGGAGACATTCTGGGGCACACATGGATTGAGTTGGACATTGGAATACTGCAGTGATAATTAACAAAATAACAGAATAACAGGGTTGGAAGGCACCTTGGAGGTCTTCTAGTCCACCCTCCTGTTCAAGCAAGAAACCCTATATCATTTCAGACAAATGATTGTCCAATCTCTTTTTAAAAACCTCCAGTGTTGGAACACCCACAATTTCTGGAGGCAAATCATTCCACTGATTATCCTGGTAAGAATTGGCAATAAGAAAGACCAGTGGAGTTGTCCAAGTCAGAATGGACCCAAAGCTGGGAAACATCATAAGGTGGATCAGTGTTTTTTTTACATAAAGAGTCTGAGAGCATTGACATTACGTTTTCAACAATAAATGTTTTCTCTGTTCTCAGATCAGCCATGTGATCCAAACCATTATGTCTGTTGCGTAGTTGAGCCAGTGTATTTCCAACTGAACTGCACTGTACAAGAATCACACTGGATTCATTCTTGTAATAGAAGCACTATTGGGAATGGGAACGCCACAGTTCCCACAGTTCCCATTATCTCAACTTTTGTCTCACATCCTCAGGTTCCTGATTCTCCTTTTTCCTATAAAGGCTAAACTCCCATACTTTTCTGCTGTGATATTAACTACAAATTAGCAAATAACTGATAACTTGTTTCTCCTAGAGCAATGATGGTTAACCTTTTTGGTGCCGAGTGCCCAAAGTGTGTATGCACGTGAATGCACGTGCGTGTGCCTGAACCCCCAAAATGCAATGTGAGTGCTCCCATGCATGCACCCCCCATGCATGCACCACTCCACGCATGCACTCCACGCATGCATGCGTCACCCCACATGCCCTGTTTTGGCTTCCAGATTGCTGCTGGAGGCTTTCCAGACCCAAAGTGGGGTGCGGAGGGCCTCATGCAGCACCCCCACACCCTGTTTTGGCTTCTAGGTTGGTGTGGGTGGCAGAAATGGAGTAGAAAGGTAGGGCACACTGGGGAGTAACCTGCAGAGATCAGGGAAGGCATAGGTGGCAGAAATGGAGGAGAACGGTAGGGCGCGCTAGGGGAAACCTGCAGAGATCAGGGAAGGCCCCGTCCCCTGCGCATGCATGGCAGAGACCTGAAGACAAGCTGGCCGGCGGGAGGCGTGCATGCATGTGTGGTGGAGCTGGGCTGGGGTGACAGCTGGCGTGCTTGCAAAGGGGACTCTGCATGCCACCTGTGGCATGCATGCCATAGGTTCGCCATCACGGTCCTA